ACAGTGGTAACTAATTCAGACTAATGTCGTTTGATCTTTTCTTTGTTATTTTAACTCATACAAAATTCCTTAACGTACCTTAGAAGCGCAATGTGAAATGCCAAGCAGACATAACAATCCGTCCGCAAAAACACGTAAGGTCAAGAACCACTCAAACAAAAGTGCCAAATATGATAAGTAGAGGTATAGACTTTCCATTTCGGCCGTTTTGATTTTTGTGAAAAATCCAGCGATACGATAATTTTATCTAAAGGTTGAGTTAATTTCAACAAAAAATAATAGCACACAGACGTCATGTGAAATTGAACATTTTGAGGATAGCGCTGTATGGTCTGATACAGAAAGCACGTCGACGATGAGCAATAGCTACAATGGATCAGACTCTCACTCGTTTTCTTCACTCTCAGGCATAGGTCCAATGCCATGTGTGTACACGACCATAGCTGTTTTTTACGACAGCTTCGTTTGTACACACTGTGGCAAACCTTCCTCTTGTGTGATGCAAATATGATCGCCATGTATCAGAGGATCAGTATTGTTTACCTCTTGGCAACATATACTTTCCCGTCCTGTACTCATGACCACACAAAAGCCACACTCACACCTAAAGATAAAAACATTGTTTTACTTTGGGAAAACAATGAAGCATCAATAAAATGCAACTAACCATTCAACATTTCCAATTCTGTGAATGTATTTATCTTCGCTTTCCGATGACGGAGAATTGTCATCATTATGACCACCTTGCGCGTTGGCCAAAGGCTCAAACAATGTTGTACCTCATTGTTATTGATGACAATATCATAATCGGCTTCTCCTTCAGAAGAATCCATTAATTTTTGATAAATAAAAAACAGTAATAGCAAACTACCGAAAGCCGTGCAAGCACTGCATGCCAGTCGTAGAACGATATAAGAACGATGCTTGTTTATGTCAACTAATACGTCACTCTTTCACAGTTCCCAGACTTAAACAATCTCACGGCGTTTTAGCAATGGTCATCGAATATCGTGTTTTACCGATTATAACCCTAAATATCTTTTGAAAAATTTGCGGACGACTTCGAAACTTAGTACGTCTTATTTTCACGCTATAGGCATTACAATAAAATAAAGGTGTCTTCTAGCTGGCATGTGTCCTTTATTAATAGAAATAAAAGTTATACGTATAAGAAAATTTTTGCAGTAAAAGCAAAAGCAGGGCGCAAACTCAGTAAATTTATCAATATTTTGCACAAACCTTGTAAGATCAAGCACAGAAGGTATTGGTTCAACTTTTTCTTCGTTCGGTTCTGGTTCTTTCACGTTAACATTTCCAGGTTAAATACAAATAAACAAATTACTCCCCAAACATTGTAGTCATAAGATAATACAGCAATGTTCTTCTTCTCAATTTTCCGCTCTGTTTTGACTCCAATTCAGCGACTGCCAAAAGCAAGCTGGATACAATCAAAGGAAGAACAAAAGTCTTAATGCTCTCACCCAAATCTCACCAGAAACGACGTACATTGCATATTCCTTAGGTGTTGAATCTATGGACGACTGAACAAATCCATGCAATAACGCACGATGTAAAAATCCACAAAGTGCGCCGAATAAAATGAAAAATGCATTTCAATTTCAGCCAATGATAAGCTTAACTCTAGATCACGTGAGATCAAGTTGGGGAATTGTCGTCATCTCGCGAATGTAAGTTTTTGGCAAATAGTGAAAGATTCTTTATTAAAATTAGTACATACACAAATTTATACATTTTACAGACGAAATAGAGTACATTCTATCTAAATAGTTATTTTAACAAATTTTAACTCCATAGTTTGTGCATTTCTACATCTCTACATTTCTACAAATAAAATATTTCTACACATATAGTCAAACTTACAATTCATCAGGAACTGATGGTAGATTCAAATCATATATTTCAACAATAAATACAAAATATAAAACCTCTAGCAAGATATTAAAAAGTTCAGCATAACTGTCAACGTTTGATTCCATCCTTACTTGATCTTCTACAAGATTCTCCTGCAGAACGTTTTCTTTGCGGGAATTGTTTTCGTCACGTTGCTCATGCTCCAGTCCTTCGTGATTTTCGTGTTTATTTCTATTCTCATCCTCATTTGATTCGAAAATTGAATTTTTATCGTTTTTGTTCATATCTTTATTTTACATATGCTAATGTGACTCGCAAACTTTACCAACAAATGTTGCTTTCGATGAGGAGATGCTCCGTCACAAGCCAGCTACCACTTACTTTGGTGTAATCCAAAGGACGTCCTTATACATCACTGCCCTGCAGAAACTCAGAGACTCAGCAAAACTGTTCACGTGACCAATCACGTTCATCCAGTCGAATGCCAATTGCAGAAAGACCAAAAAACCGGACATGGCAAAATGCCGAAATTGGAAAAGCGAAGCCCCGAGAAGCATTTTTAGTAGTTATGTGTGATGTAGGTGTGATGTTGTGATGTGCGTGTACAACAAAAATAGTCCTTCTCAGGACTATACCAACCTGGACGATCTACATTTACAAACATGTAACGATACTCCCGTGTTCAAACCATTTACTTTAACCAGTAAATGGTTTGTGAACTTGGCAATATTTAGGTGTACATCAATCTATGACGACGAAAGTCGCCAATTCTTCCAACATTCGCTAACCTTTGTGTCGAATCACTCGAATGTATTTGGATTTATCTTACTTGAAATTTATTTCTATAAATGTGTTTCTATCAATGCATTCACAATTTCAAACTTGTCAGATTTTTCATTATACCGCACTAAAGATGGCATAAGTTTGCCGAAAAATGTCTGCAATAAAAAACTTAAAAAAAGTTGTCATTTATGTTAAATGCGTCATTTCAATCGTGCCATTACGAAATTAGGGAAATTAGAAAATTATGTTAAAATGTGGAATTTGTTTGTTAAGATCTGGTTTTTGTTTGCGTGTGTCTAAGGCTTTGAGTTTTAGAGAAAATTGAGTGTAATATTCAACTTTGTCTCTATCACACTCATGATATTTGCCGTGTAAATATCACTAATATTTCATCAAACCTTTTCCTTTTACTGATTAACACGTATCAAGCATCCTATGATAAATTCAGCATTTTAAATAACTTTACTTTATTCTTCATTTCAATCGTGCCATTACGAAATTATGGAAATATTCATATAGTTGTAAATATAGGAGAAGCCCTGATCCATGATGCAAAAATTGCGCATGAAAAATTCGATGTTTGAAAATTTAAAAGTTGAATGATTCTGAAAAGAGTTTATGTAATTTAATTTTGTTCATTATTATTTTATTTACATAAATCGAAATCAAACTAACGTGATTGAACAGTTAAGGCTGAAACACACTAGGCAATCGCTTTAGTCGCGCGTCTGAAGGCTGAATGAAACACACTATAATAAAATTTACAACTTCCTGATTCCGACGATTCCGTTCTTTTCGCCAACAGTAACAAAACACAAGTTTTTATGTCGACGTCACCGAAATACACGACGTTCTATAATTCATTATATAAAAAATCCTTCAGATAAACTTGTATATGCCAGTATTCTCTTGTAGAACCAAAAGTGAAATGAAGATATGATCTTTGCACTTTGCTGGACAATTTAAGCAAGTGTCATATGAAAGAATTCGTGAAACGAAAGTCATATGAAATAATTATTTCATATGACATGAAATGAATGTCATATGAAAGAATTCTTTCATGTGAAAGAAATGTCATATGAAATAATTCTTTCATATGACATGAAAGGAATAATTGCTTTGTCTGACTGGGTAACTATTATCTGAAGGACATCACTTGAGTCTATTGGACATATTTGAAAGGAATGTCATATGAAAGAATTCTTTCATGTGAAAGAAATGTCATATGAAATAATTCTTTCATATGACATGAAAGGAATAATTGCTTTGTCTGACTGGGTAACTATTATCTGAAGGACATCACTTGAGTCTATTGGACATATTTGAAAGGAATGTCATATGAAAGAATTCTTTCATATGACACTCCTTTCACGAGAAAACATGAGCCCAAGAAATTGACCTGCTCTCTTCTGTGTGACTTCATAGCTCAGTTGGTCAGAGCACTGCACCGGTACCGCAGAGGTCTTGGGTTCAAATCCCGTTGAGTCACCTGATTTTTCAGGTTCATGAGACAATTGCTTAAATTGTCCAGCAAAGTGCGAAGATCATGTTTTCATTTAATATCAAACACCGCACTGTATAAAACATTCTTTCATAGAACCAAAAGTGGTAAAATATTATCATAGTTGTTTGACGTACGTTGGATAAGCAATGTCACCTTACGAGAGCAATTTCTCTCCCCCCCCTTCCCCTTACCAACCATACCACACTCGACAATTTCACCTGCTTGACTAACTTAGAATGCCGGTGATTCTCAGTAGCACATTGTTATCCTTTCTCTTGACAACTCAGTGACGCTGATAGTCTTGTGGTCTAACTAAGGATGCTGGTGATTCTCAGTAGCACATTGTTATCCTTTCTCTTGACAACTCAGTGACGCTGATAGTCTTGTTGTCTAACTTAGGATGCTGGTGATCCTCAGTACCACATTGTTATCCCTTCTCTCGACAACTCAGTGAGGCTGATAGTCTTGTGGTCTAACTTAGGATGCTGGTGATCCTCAGTAGCACATTGTTATCCTTTCTCTCGACAACTCAGTGACGCTGATAGTCTTGTGGTCTAACTTAGGATGCTGGTAATACTCAGTAGCACATTGTTATTCTTTCTCTTGACAACTCAGTGACGCTGATAGTCTTGTGGTCTAACTTAGGATGCTTGTGATCCTCAGTAGCTCATTGTTATCCTTTCTCTCGACAACTCAATCAACCTTCAGCTGTGTGCCATTCAATTATAGGAATGTAGGAATGTCTAAATTCTGCATTTCACAGAAAACTCTTAGACACTGTTACCAATAGAGCAATGTAGGAACAAACTTGTCTTTGAACCATAAAAACTTTTTAAAAAGGTTGAGAAGTAAAATGTTGGGCATTCTCTTTTCATTCAATACATAAATATATACAACATGTTCTTGGTACAACAAATAAAATAGATAAAATTGATTGACTATATAAATTACAATTGTTCATTTATCCAGTTCCTAATTGATTTATCATTGACTTCTGCAGCAGCCACTGTTTCTTGACATGGCCAATGGGGGACTCTCATTTTTTCTTGTTTCACAGCAAGACATCTGTCAACGTGTTGTGGACTATAAATGTGAATGAACATGTTATCAAAGTTAGTCTGAAAATCTTTCAAACATTTTTAAACGAAACAGAAGTTAACAAATTGAACTACTTATCTAAAAGAATGTTTAAATTTTGTTTAAGAACCAGAAGTCCTGTGTTAACGACATCAAGGCTCTTTAACAAGAATGTGTAAAACCACTGATCTAATATAGGACTGGATGACACATTTAATATAAAACTAGTCAAACAATGACATTAATATTTGAGACTTTAAGCCTTTCTGTGATTCTGATCAGACAAATTTTCCTATCCTGATGATAGAAGAATGCTGCAGTTTGGCAAAGCATTCTTAAAATAAAAAATTTAATAATTTTAAATAAATTAAATGCAGTGAACTATGGCACTTTAATCAGAGTCAAAAAGAATGACATTAAGTTAAAATGTTGAAAACTATGTACAACAGCACTGACTAAACAAGATCAGCCATGCATAATGATTTTGAATGCCAAGTTAGTTTTTTATTAGACTCAAATACAACTGCAAAAACACAACGGTAATGAACCACCAAATGAAAACATGTTTTACTCTGCTATTATATACAAAAGTTCTTATAGATGGGTCATTCAAAGGCAGTATAACCTTCCATAACTGCTGTGCTACCTTGCTTTGATTATCATGTACAAAACTAAAACTGTGTTATTAACATTTTAAGAAATTGAAATATTTTAAACATTGCTTACAGTATGTGTGTACATATAAATATTTTAAGGGTCGTATAATGGAATTTCTATGGTGTACTAACAAAACAACACATCTTTACTGGAAGAGCTAAAGTAACATATTTCTAATACAACAGAAGACAACCTAACCAAAAACTGGGTCAAGTGTAAAATGCATTGTAACGTAGAATGATAAGGTCATGTTGATGTACTGCATTGACATACAAATTACAATGTCTGTAATTACAAGTGTATTGGGAAAGGAATAATGCAAAATGTGCGTTCTTATTTATACAAAAATTATGATGTACAACACTGGATGAATAGAACTTAAATGAATGAAGATAATAAAGCAAAAGATTTTACAAAAGATTCGCATAAAAGGACTATTCATTCTTAACATATCAAAAAAAATTTGTTTGATCGTTTGAATGGGATGAGTGAATTTGAACTGTAGATGTAAGTCAATGTTTTAAAGTTTGAAACACTTACCGTAAAGGTTCTTTAGTACCGTAAAAACATACTAAAACGATGAGCAAGTTGTCAACACCATTTTTTTAAGGGCTTAACAATATTTAAGTCGCCATTTTCCATTCTGAAGATGATAGTTCAAGCAGTTGATTGCATCAAATTTCGAACTAATTTCGAGATGAACTGCGTTTCAACTCATTTAGTTTGTATTTAATTTACAGTGAATAAAACTTCACCGTATTCAGAACAACTTTGTGTTTCAAAGAAATTGTTTTCCCTTTCGAATTTGAGATGGAGTTCAATGTTGACATCTACATGTCGATTCAATGCGTAATCCAGCCTATACTAAGATCAATGGTGAAGAATCGCTTTTACACTAATGCGCATGCGTTAGTCATTGGTATTGAAAACTGCACGGCTCACCACAAGCATTATGCGTGTAAAAGAGAATAAATCTAAGGAAATTACCAACACGAATTAAAATAATTTTAAATTAAACCAAAATATTAAAAATAAAATAAAAAAATAAAAAAATAAAATAAAGAAAAATAAAAAAATAAAAAAAGTGAAAGTCGTAAAATAAATATGTAATAAAATAGAAATTTTTTTTAATAAAATAGTAATAAAATTCTGAACAAATATTGTAACATTTAGCAAAATTTTTTCAAAAATACATTTGTGCAAATTAAAAAACAATAAATAGAATTTCTCTTTTAAAAAATAGAAACATTCAAAGCGACTTACCTCATGTTCAAGCAAGAAGAATCAGCTTCTGAATGAGCGGATTTAATTCTTCACACCAGTTTTATTGTGTAGAATCCCTCCAATAAAAACCTGGCGTGAAAACCGAAAAAAGAAAGAAGCTTATTGGCCTGTGACAACCAATTAAATTCATGCATAACAATCGGCCAATAGACAACCACCAGCTCAGGTAACTCGAAGCGCGCATTGTGGTCTCAAGTTGCACGACATGCAAGCGAAATTTTGTATTTGTGGACGACAATGCAAAGTCTATATTGTGCTGTTTCTTTTCGCCTTTCAAAGTCAGTTGACACAACTGAAGACACTCCTTCTTTTCAGAAATCAAGTACGGACGTTCAGGAGCATTCTGCCTCTAAAATTTTAGAAAAGACTGCTTTATTTTAGCAGTAATATCGTCGTTAGACTAAAAGGTGACGTTGTTCAACATCCAACGGCGTCAAGTCGAAGTATAAACTGAAAGATTGTATCGACTTGGATTTTACAAGATGGTTAGTAAAACTTAGTATTATTGCAAAATCTGTCTTCAGTCACTAACGAAAAGCTGACAGGCAAGCGCATTGAAAATATATTCACTATGTCTCACAAATTTCTCCCAAAGTCGATCGATACATTGAGAAAGAATTACCGGTTACTTATGCCGTATGCGGAAGGTTTTGTCAACAACATCACGACAAAGTAAACTTTTGAGCTAAAATTTTGTTGCTTTTTGTTTATGGTAGCGTATCTACGTCTATATAATCTGAAAATAAAGTTATTTAGTTGCATTTGAATGAAGCAAATGCTGATGTTCAATGTGCGATAGGCTTTGCAAAAGTTGGCAAAGATGCTTGCATAGACTTCGGTCAAGCATAAGTTGTAGTTGCTTCTCACTGCAGCTTTTGTCGTGTCAAAATACTGGATACTTTTCTATTTAATTTTATCAACAATATTTGTCTGAATCATCTAATACATGGGAACATGCATGCTTCACTGAATTCGACTTTGTGTTTCATGAAATAACTCGATGTTTGTAATAGTTCAATTTCAAAGACTCGTGAAATAAAACAATTTCATTTTGTATGACAGTAATCAACCTTCAGTTATAATCAGGGCAAATAGTAATTTTTCTTGTATTGTCTGATTGCTATTGATTTGTATCTACAGCAGCCTTCTAAACAGGATGTTTCAAACAACGATAACTTTTGCCATGGTTTTGGAACTACCATTTGGCACATTACACTTTAGTTGTACTGAGCATATGTAAGGTTTATGACGGAAAGTCATGATGTTATGTTATAGGACGACTGCGTGTTAGCAAAAGCCATCTTAACACAAAATTACATAATTATTTGCTTATTTAACATCAGTATGTGTTTGTTTGAAATGCACATAAAGAACTTTATTTTCAGATTTAATGAACGTAGAAACACAGTCCACAACGAAAAGCAACAAATTTTTAACAAGAAACCTTCCACAACGACAAGCGTAATTTCGTCCAATTTTGTGAGACATAGTGCTTTAGCCAATGATAGCTTTGCAATGTTATAATTATTACTGGTACAATTCAAATTTTCACAATCTCTTAGTTTGTTCTTTGCCACAAGTTGTCGAACAACGTCAGTTTTTGGAAATTTTCAGATGCAGAAGACTCCTGAACCTTTGCATTCAAAAGAACTGTCGTCTTAACTCGTCTTTATTGACTTGAAAAAGCAACAAGAAAAGATCACCGATTTTTGCTTAGGCACGGTTCAAACGTCGTGCTTTTCATGAGCCAAACCTAATTCATATTTGGTACGACAAAGTACGACGTGGCTCGACGTCGATTTAAACGTCGAACTTAATTTGTCGAATTTAACTGTTTATAGTAAGCCTTCGGTTGCTTTAGGTCCTGAAGTGATAATTATGCAATACATGTAATATATTCATAGTGATTTACACACATCATATGACTTTTTGTTAAGTTGTTAGAAGTTGATTGTGATCACAATTGAGTTATTGAGTTAGCACAAAATTTTGCGATTGGGATAATTGTGATCACAATAATCCCAATCGCAAAAAATTTGTAATATGCAAAAGTACAATTTCTCCTGATGCAGCACGTTAAATAATTTCGAGGGATTGAAATTAGCCAAAACTTCAAGGTTAAAAATTACAACTGTTTGTTAAGCACCACAAGTCATTCCTGTTTTAATTCTCAAATTAAGCCAAATTGGTTGTTTTCATTTTTAAATGTTATGCGTATAGTTATTAAATCAGAATATTGTGAAATTGCTCGAGAAGATAAATCTGATCATAAGTATTGAATCGTTTTATCTACCAAAATCATGTAATGCTTGACTGAGTCCTGGCTTACCGGGCTCATGTAATCAGCCTATAATTGCTTGATGTCGAACACTTTTCAAGATTTTCAAGTCAGAGTTTACTGTCGTTTCTAGTTCAACTATATCACTATTTGAAGCAGTTAAGCAGTTATTACGCGTTAGATAGTTTGAAAATCTGAAAAAAATTTTGCCAATTGCAATAGGTAAATTGCATTAATGTTTATTGTTCGCGAGCACTGATGCGACAGCCCCCAATTAGCATTGTAATTTAACCGGAAATTATAATTGAAGTTTAGCTCAATGGCAAATAAACAAGAAATTTCAAACATTCTGTATGATACACCATGTATAATAATAATAAACTTAAATTATTAGTGAGATGATTTAACGATGGTGGAGCAAAATGCGAAAGCTATAAACGACACAGAAATTAGTAAATGTAAATCGTAACTCTCACACCAACCTCTTTTACTGAAGCCAAGTTAGCCACGAAGGTAAAAATGTACAAATCAAGTTGAAAGTCTCGTTTGCACGCTTTGAAAATTGAGATAGATCTGAGACAATAAGAATCCCTTGCCTCTGTGTTAGTGGTCCTCTTCTTCGGTACGTTCGCACGTTATGTAAACTTCGCAAACAACAGAGAGGAGTTTTCCCAAACCTACCAATCAAAATCTCGATGAATTATCGAACCAATGAAAATCCTAACATGGGGTCGAACGAATGATAACATCATATGTACGTAATGGGCAGCCCGCTAGGCTTTGTACGACGTCTTGATCGTTTAATTCATTTGTACAATCAAGGCAAACGTAAACAAAGTGCTTGAATTACTATTTAGTCACATGACTTTTAGGCGGGAAAATGAATAACAATGAAGTAAAGGCAGGTAGTTTCCTTTTAAGGTGCGGGGGACCCTTGAATGATAACTTTTTGATTTTTCGACTCGGGCAACGAAACGAAAAACATAGGCGATATGATACATCATTGTTTCATTAACATCTTGACTTTGGTGAAGAAAACATCTCTCAAAGGAGGCTTAAATGTACGAAACGAAATACATGTGCGATACGATACGATACATCATTGTTTTATAAAACTGGCCATATTTTCCTTTGTTACAAATGCTACAAATTTCCTTTATGTTACAATTGTTTACAAATGCTTTATGATTATGTCGACATTGCGAATGGAGAAACTATTGTTTTGTGAGGTTTTGTACATTTTAATACAGTGAACGTCATGATACACTTCCGCGTTTGAAATTTCAAATATTCTCGATTTCATTTGATGATATAAAGTTAGAAAGGAGTATTAGAATCTTTCAACAAACGTCACAGACTGTATAAGTTCTGATACACAACAAAGGTGAACGTCGAGATTAAGTTAACATGAAATTTAAACTTAGCGTCAGACAATGGAAAGCGACAAACTATAGCATCGACAGTCATAATTCATAACCAATTTTGATAAGATATTTTGAATCTTGGATAAATTATGATTCAAGTTACTTTTAACTTAAAAATTTCAAGGAATATTTTCGCCCGTAGGAATTTGTTAGCAATATGAAATTTAATGATCTCCTTTCTAAATATGCTTTCATTTCAACGACTTGGCATTACAATAGTTTCACGATGAAGAATGTCCTATTCAACACAAACTACATATTCAGAGCTGCAGTTTAACCCCAACAGGGGACCTTCAAAAACTGCCTCGCGAAATACTGACAATGAAATATCTATTTTGGATCGTCAATAGAAAATAATTGATATTTGTAATGTATAGGGTTTGAATGGAGTTTGAAGTTAAACAAATTGTTGTTCAAGGCAACCGCAGGTCGTGTATGATAAAAATAAAACACAGCAAGTTTTAAAACAAACCACAATCATTTTTGCTTCATCTTGTTCTTCTTCATCATCAGGATAATCATCATCACCATCAACTTCTGCATTTTGATGTTCAAGTCTTTCCAGTTGCTTTGCAAAGTCTGCTTTATCCATATCTGTGACAACCTTTGGCTGAACAGATAAAAATGACAATCAATGGTAGAAATTTGTAATTCAAATTGATCCTTTGAGATCAGGAAGAAAATACAAGGGCACAAACGTGTGGTAACATGAGGAAAATTTAAAGTAACAACTTGTAATCGCAAATTACATAATGATTTTTAAGATGATATGGAGATGGTACAGGGATGGTATAGGGATTGTAAAGATATAGCTTGGAATGGTATAGGGATTGTAAAGATATAGCTTGGAATGGTATAGGGATAGTAAAGATATAGCTTGGGATGGTATAGGATGATATAGCTTGGAATGGTATGGATAAAGATATAGCTTGGAATGGTATAGGGATTGTAAAGATATAGCTTGGAATGGTATAGGGATTGTAAAGGAATGGTATAGGGATTGTAAAGATATAGCTTGGTATGGTATAGGGGTATAAGATATGGTGGGATGGTATAGGGTTTGTTAAAAGGATTGGTAATGGGATGTTAGGGTCATCACTTTTTAAAATAAATGGTTGAAAAGATATATATGTTTGTAAATGATGATCGTCCAGGTTAATAAAGTCCTGAGAAGGACTGTTTTTGTTGTTGTTGACTAACAATAAGTTTGTTGTTGATTAACAATAAGTCAACAACAACAAAAACAGTCCTTCTCAGGACTTTATTAACCTGGACGATCATCATTTACAAACATATCATCACTTTTTATTGATACAATATATTTCTCATGCAAAAGTTAACACTTACAGCTTGTTGTAAAACAAATGTTCCTTTCTTGTTCATAATGACTTCTTCAATGGCTTTGATATATGTTTCCAAAGCTTTCAAACCTTCTTCTCGATTCACTGTTGTTGTCATGACAACATAGGTAGGTGGTGAAATGGGATTTATCTTAAAGAAGAAAACAGTTTACAATCAAACAGTAATATTTTCAAAAGACTATTTATCATGGTATGTTATTTAGGCCTGGCATAGCTATTGTAAGATATAATTACATTGCTGTGCACATTTGGAACATCTATAAATAATTAAATCTTGTTTTGGTGAACATCAAAATGTTCATCCTCATTGTGTTTATGTAGCAATATTGCAATTTGATGCATTTCAATGAGAATGATCTGTCATATACAGTGGTGTAAAATAAAGCTTCATGCTATTCTTGGTTCTTAAGGTTCGTTTTCCTTGACAACTCATTTATTGACAGTTGTCTTGTTGTACACAATGTTCAGTAGTATATATAATAATCAATCTACAATTGAAATCTTGACATAAACATATTTAAAAGTTAAAATGACATGATGAATATGAGGTATAGTTCTATTGGTTAAGAATAGTTCATGTACGACGTCTGATGATGTTAATGTTGATTCATAATGGTTTCAAAAAAGCTTGGCTGACTGATAATTATGTTAATAAACACATAACCCAGGCTGTCACATGTTACAGTCGTAAACAAAATCTCAGCAAACTTTTGCCATAAATATAAAACAGTTTTAAAATTCAAAAGGAGTAAAGATCTTTTTGACTTTGAAATTCAAAAATTTCAATAAACCTTCCACTTACTGTCTCAAAGAGATGAGAAATTGAGTGTGTGATGAGTAGAGTGTGGAAGGTTTATTGTAATTTTTATATTTCAAGGTCATTGCTGTAAAGGCTGTGTTTCAGATTAACTTATCCATTTAAAATCTTGATGTTCTTATTATGATCTTGTAGCATTACCTTTGCTCTCTTTGGTATGGTTCGTATGACATAATAAAATGTATTTACAACTAATATCATAAATGTATTTATTATTGTTTCACAATAGTGAAGGTGAATGGGTTTTCTACGCACTTGGAAATCTCCACACTTGCACAGTTTTGCGAACGAAGCATTTACGTTCTAATAAAAAAAGGCTTCCTTTAGTAAAGTAAAAAGCCGACAATTATGACCTTATGATTCATGAAAGCTTTCTTATATCCAAACTTAAACCCTCTCTTAACACCCAAGGCAACTCAATCCCCCTTCACCTTCTTTAATATACCGCCATTCTCACTTAATTCCGTCATCTAAACTTCCTACTCACCTCACATGTAATTTAACACCCTGTAATATATGCTTGTATTTAAAACCTCATGTATATTATTTATCTCAAATAATCTGAAGATGTCTTAAGTTAAAGACGAAACGTAATTATTAAAAAAACCTTTTATCTTTCTTTATTTTATTATTGTGATGGCTTTTTTAAATGTCTTATGTTGGGCTATTATATTCATATTGAAAAAGTAAAAAGCATTGTCGTTAAATAATAGAAATAAAAGTTATACGTATAAGAAAATTTTTGCAGTAAAAGCAAAAGCAGGGCGCAAACTCAGTAAATTTATCAATATTTTGCACAAACCTTGTAAGATCAAGCACAGAATGTATTGGTTCAACTTTTTCTTCGTTCGGTTCTGGTTCTTTCACGTTAACATTTCCAGGTTAAATGCAAATAAACAATTTACTCCCCAAACATTGTAGTCATAAGATAATACAGCAATGTTCTTCTTCCCAATTTTCCGCTTTGTTTTGACTCCAATTCAGCGACTGCCAAAAGCAAGCTTGATACAATCAAAGGAAGAACCAAAAGTCTTAATGCTCTCACCCAAATCTCACCAAGAAACGACACGTACATTGCATATTCCTTCGGTGTTGGATCTATGGACGACTGAACATTGCCATGTAATAAAGCACCGAGTAAAAATCCACAAAGTACGCCGAATAAAATGAAAAAATATCATATGTTGTTTTGCATGTTTTAATCCATTGTAGCAACGCTTTCTTGAAGTCATTGTCGAAATTTTGTAGCTCTGAATACAATTCAAAGCAACAAATAAACACTGAATCTCAACTTCACAATTCGCAATAACAAAGACTATAAATTTACCGCGCCATTGACTATATATAAATATCAATACTTATAAGAGACTTAGGTCACGTGTTTTTCTTCCCAGATTTTAACAGCCAAGGGGGAAATCCCTTTTAAACGCTTTCATTTGAAATAAATGGAGAGAAGGCTAAACTACTTCACAAAACAGTTACTAATGTAGTTGGCAACATTAAAAAGTAACTTGGCAACCGCCATTTGAAAAGTTAACTGAAATCCACAACAACTTCACAATTCGCAATAACAGAGACTATAAATATATCGCGCCATTGACTATTTATAAATATTCAATCTATATTAGAGACTAGGTCACGTGTTTTTCTTTCCAGATTTTTCGACAGTCATCATCTCAACAGCCAAGGGGGAAATCCCTTTCATCGTGAAGACAATGTCTCACGACGCAAACTTGCATCATAAATAATTTCCATTTCATCGTGAAGACAATGTCTCACGACGCAAACTAGCATCATAAATAATTTCCATTTCATCGTGAAGACAATGTCTCACGACGCAAACTAGCATCATAAATAATTTCCATTTCATCGTGAAGACAATGTCTCACGACGCAAACTTGCATCATAAATAATTTCCATTTCATCGTGAAGACAATGTCTCACGACGCAAACTTGCATCATAAATAATTTCCATTTCATCGTGAAGACAATGTCTCACGACGCTAACTTGCATCATAAATAATTTCCATTTCATCGTGAAGACAATGTCTCACGACGCAAACTAGCATCATAAATAATTTCCATTTCATCGTGAAGACAATGTCTCACGACGCAAACTAACATCATAAATAATTTCCATTTCATCCTGAAGACAATGTCTCACGACGCAAACTAACATCATAAATAATTTCCATTTCATCCTGAAGACAATGTCTCACGACGCAAACTTGCATCATAAATAATTTCCATTTCATCCTGAAGACAATGTCTCACGACGCAAACTAACATCATAAATAATTTCCATTTCATCCTGAAGACAATGTCTCACGACGCAAACTAGCATCATAAATAATTTCCATTTCATCGTGAAGACAATGTCTCACGACGCAAACTTGCATCATAAATAATTTCTTTGGAAACAATTATATAGGAATGTATGAGTTTATATCATTGGTTTATATATTATAACGCATGAAATGACAGCACTAAAAAATTACCATTCAATAAATATTAATAATTACATTAAAATAAATATTATTAAGAAAGAGATTTACAAAAACTTACAAATTATTTTAAATGGTTCATTAGTACATTTGTCTGAATCATTTAATACTTGGGAACATGAATGCTTCACTGAATTCGACTTAATGTTTCATGAAATAACTCGATGTTTGTAATAGTTCAATTTCAAAGACTCGTGAAATAAAACAATTTCATTTTGTATGACATTAATCTACCTTCAGTTATAATCAGGGCAAATAGTGATTTTTCTTGTATTGTCTGATTGCTATATTTGTATCTACAGCAGCCTTGTAAATAGGATGTTTCAAACTTTGATAACTTTTGCCATGGTTTTGGAACTACCATTTGGCACATTACACTTTAGTTATACTGAGCATATGTAAGGTTTATGAAGGAAAGTCATGATGCTATGTTATAGGACGACTGCGTGTTAGCAAAAGCCATCTTAACACAAAATTACATAATTGTTTGCACATTTAACATCAGTATGTGCTTGTTTCAAATGCACAAAAAGAACTTTATTTTCGTATTTAATGAACGTAGAAACACAGTCCACAACGAAAAGCAACAAATTTTTAACAAGAAACCTTCCACAACGACAAGCGTAATTTCGTCCAATTTTGTGAGACATAGTGCTTTAGCCAATGATAGCTTTTGCAATGTTATAATTATTACTCGTACAATTCAAATTAGTAGAGAGCTTTAGCAAGAGTACGACTACGAAGACGAGTACGAAGTTTGACCGTGTAAGGGAATGGCACGAGGAAGTTTGTTGTCGTCGCTTCGTCAAAATTTTGTTTTAGCTATAAACAACAGAACGAGCCTTTTTATTGTGAAAAACACTGACGTTTGCGAAGCAGCTACGGCTCCATTTGTCAGATATTAAATATCAACCAAATTAATAAAAATTGTGATATTTAAAACTGTCGTTTCGTTGTTTTTAACAATAACTTTGTTTGTCTCTCCCCAATGTATCTGGAATTACATCCAGCACAAGAAAATTCATAAACCACGTTGGATTTTAAGAGTGGGAATAGGATCTTTGAAGCTAAAGTGATTTTTCATTTTAAAATGACCACCCGCCACCTTTCCACACGGATTAAAGAACACACAACCACGGACAAAAACTCATACATATTCAGACACTTACTCTCGTCACCACACTGCAAAAACAATTATACACAATCCTGCTTCCGTATTTTAGACACCGCTCACACTCCTTTCGCCCTTAAACTCAAAGAAGCCCTTTATATCAAGAAGCGTAAACCCAACCTCAAAAAACAAATACAACATCTTAACACTATCTTTGACCTGTAAATAGCTATTCCTACCTTATCATATATTTTTCATTTTCTTTGTAATTTTTTTTTGTAATAAAATCTAACACAAACATTTTATAACACCTCATTCAACTGTAAATTCAACAAGTAGCAAGGCTTTACGTGCCGTCCCTGATTTCGACTGATTGCTACAACACGCGTAACACTTCCAAACTTCCAACCCGAGTTTGGATCGCCCCGGCGCGAAAAGATATGATGATGATGAACTGTAAATAATTATTCATAACTAGTCGATATTTCCGCTTTATCACTACAACTTGTAAGAGGTCATGGGTTCGAATCCCGTTGAGTCACCTGAATTTTTCAGGTTTATGAGACAATTGCTTAAATTGTCCAGCAAAGTGCGAAGATCATATCTTCATTTAATCACTACAACTTATTATCATGTAAACTTCCTTTATTTATTCACTTCGCACTGAAGATGGCATAAAGTATGTCGAAACATGTTTGCTATAAAAAAGTTTGTCGTTTATTTTAAATGTCATATAACTCATGCAAAATGTGACGTTTGAAAAACGGACCTGAAAGTTGGCAACTAATACATTCAGATTTACATTTCTTCTTGTGTTGACTGAACATTCAACACAAAATCATCCAGAGCTTCCATCGAATATCCATGTTCCCTTATTAAATCCAAGACATGAGGTAAAAATTCGAATTCTTCAATTAGAGTTTCTTGTGTGGGATGACGTCTTCCTGACGTCACTTCACCAAGACGACCTTGAATATTTTGTTCACAATTGCTTACGTCACGTTCACCATGTTCCAACCTTATGTAGACTATCTTGCAAAGCTTGCAACCCATGTCTATGCTGGTATAAAATGAAGATAAAAAATCTTTATTCACGGAACTTTTCCATGAGAGAATTTAAAAATTAATTAATAAAATTTAAAATTTGATTTTGAATTTTAATCTTACAGACAACCAAAGTATTTCTTGCAAGATCGTGTAACAAGTATAGGAAAGAGGAATTCTGAGACTATTGGCACGGGTAATGCCTTTAATTCGTTGCGTTGCTGCGAATTTCGTTGTGATATTTGGCAATTATTATAGTAACGTAAATGCTCGCTTTTGTACCGTGGCTCTCCCAAGAAAATAACAAGTATACAAAATCTATTTTTATGATTTAATATTATATAACTTGATGAAAAAATGTCACACAGGCGCAAAATAAGGTTGTTATAAACTTTAAAGTTTAATAACTCTATCACAGAATAGATACGTAACAGAAGCGCCACTCAGCGAAAAATCTGTCCCCCACTCGTACCCAGTTCTCAAATGCGCATCCGTTGCGTCCGCCATTACTCCAGCCAGAATGTATATCAGTGAACTCCATATATATATATATATATCTGGAATGATAACGACAATACATTTTATAGATATAAAATTGAAGCCAAAGTCCTAGTCTCTTGCGCGGTTTGTACGTCAGTTCCAGTCCTTCAAAGTCGAATATTCACGCGGTTTGTACGTCAGTTTCATTCCCCTGAGTGCCAAACATACACGGCCAATATAAATTTGAATACAAATTGCAAAAGCATAAACATATAAACAACATCACGACAAACAACACACGAGGCCAACTCTTCGCAAAAGGTTATTTTTTACAGCTGAAACTTTACTACAGTGAGTTCGTTTTAACTTACAACTTGTAACGAGGAAAAGCCAACTGAAAATTACACTGTTTGCTAAAAAGACAATACAATAGAAAATATGACGAAAAAATATTCAAGCATAAATTTTTCGTCGGAAGGTAAACTTTCAAAACAAAAAAGACAGTGTTTGTCTTTTTGTCATTTAAGTGGATTTAAAGATCTGTTTTTCCGAATAAAAATGAAACTTGAATATCCAGTTTCATAAAAAATATCGAGTCTATAACTCGCATTTTTACTTTTTACAGAGCGATTGTATTTTTCATCAATTTTGATAGTGCTTGAAACTTGAAATAATAAATGGTTGTCATCTCGATATCAATAATTTAATATCCTTAAAGACTTTGATATGTTTTAAAGGAAAACCGCAGCGTAAGAGCAGATCGACTAAGTTCACCTCATCTTGCTTCTCGATTTATCACTTTGATTCACTTTCCGTGAACCTTTTCATTACAAACATTTCGTTATTTTTACGCTCTGATCAAGATCCGAACTCTACCATTACCAAGGGACAAATGATTTAAAAAAATTAAAATGAACACGCGAGAGACTAGAGCCTGACGTGTGATGACGAATGATGACGACAAATATTTTTTTGGCTTCAATTTTTGGCTTCGGTTATCATTCCAGTTATTCAAATGCCGAGTTCACTGATGTATATATGTTAATATTATGAAGAATTATTTTTCGAAAATCTGACGAATGTAGATTCACTTATGGACAAAATAATTGATGCCATCGGACAGTATACCAAGCATATGAGGTGAGAAACAGTTTTGTTGTAAAATACGTTCGTCAAATAAATTTTA